CATCTGCGTGTCACGTTCGACCCTTCTCTTCGAAGACGTTGCCCGTTTCAAAGCAGTCATCGATGCAGACACAAGGAAACGAGGTTATGCATCTCGAGTTGTGTAATTTCGTTTTGATCGAAACGAAACTACAACCGGAAATACTTTCTCTCGATTATATTCGTCATTGGAAACAGACAACGTTAAAAATAATATTTCAGCATTCTGGCGAGAACGTATCATCGGAGAATTGTTAATGGACGAATAATTCTATTAAATTAAATATTAAGAAGCAAAAATTCAAAATTTATCGAGTATTTGTAGAGAAATTTCAATTAATAATAATCTCATAGGATGGAGATATCACGGTGGGAAAAAAGAAGATCAAAGCGTTTCGCGGATATGAAAAATCTGAAATGAAGATTGAGATTAAATATATAGAATAAGGGAGAAAGAAAGAGATTGTTGATTAAAAATTTATGCGATATTAACAAGAAAAAAACAAGATAAAATTATTTATTATTAATCGTCAAAAAAGAATTTCTGAGAAGAAAGCTTAGTAATAAAGAAACATTTATTAATTTAGAAGAACTGTCACACGAATAAGAAATAAGGGAAATTACGATCACCAACAAAGCTTTGTACGAAAGACTTGAAAAAGACAAGTAGCAAAGGTTAACAGAGTGGCAAAATGAGAAGGAAAGAAGTGGAAAAACGAGCGAGTTAGCCGATAAAAGGTTTAAAGCCGCGAATAAAAAGGTGAAGAAACACCGTGGCGGGGTACAAAGGATATTCGAAGAGATTCATAATTTTCGTGCAGCGAGGAAAACATCGGTGTCATTCGTGTAAAAATTGTGGTCGAGGAAATGAGAGTGGCGAAAGGATGAACGAGAAAGTCGAAAGGAACGAGACTAAGAGTGGAAGAATGAGAAGCGAAGAAAGATTATTAAATGGAGGGATAGAAAAGAAGGATTACAGGAAGAGCATAAAGGAGACTAAGAATAGAAGAATAAGAATAGGGAAGATTGTTAAGGATTGTCAAGCGAAACATTTGAGATAATAAAACTGATTACGAGAGTGAAAATTATTCTTGGACAATACGAAATAATTTCCAAGATTTTTATTTTTAAATATTTATTAATGAAATGGAAACCAAAAACGAATAAGGAACGAGACTAAGAGTGGAAAAATGAAACTAGAGAAGTGGAGAAAGATTGCTAACAAAATGGAGGGATGGAAAAGAGAAACTACAAAGAGCACGATTTAAAGGCAAAAAAGAAAATCGAAGAAGAATAAAGAAGAGATTAGAATAGAAAAGATTGTCAAGGAAAACATAATTTTTGCAGCTGAAAGTTATTATTGAACGACACGAACCAATTCTCGAGATTTTGATTAATATTTGATTAATAATTGAATAAGGAATGAGACTAAGAGTGGAAGAATGAGAGTAGAGAAGCGAAGGAATTTTGTTGATAAAGTGGAAAAGAGAGAATTATGAATTGCACGATTTAAAGACAAAAAAAAGGATCGAAGAAAATTAAAGAAGACTAAGAATAAAGAAGATTATCGGAGGAAAGCATTCGATACGATTGTGATTAGTTAATTTTTGCATTATTCTTAGAACGGAAACAATTCTCTCTCGACACTTTTATTCTCTTCAATGTATCTTGCATTCTCCAATATAATATAATACAAAGAGAAGTGGCATTGGAAGGATATTGAGAAGTACATAGGAAATTGCGGAATGAAGCTCGAGATGAAACATTCGCCCGATATTTTACGAGTCGAGATCTTTCGTAGATTAATTAGAAGTCTCGCGTCTCATCCTGACTAAGAGGTTATGTACCCGGCTATGAATTAAGTTTCATCCTCCCCCCACCGTTTTCCACGGTACATACCGCTCCGCGACTAACGAATGGGCGGCCCTAGTTTAAAAAATTGTTTCGAGAGAGAGATGAGAACGAGACGAAGGAGGAGGGGGGGATGAATCCAACGGAGAGTATGTACGGAGAGGGATGGAAGGATGGGTAAACGACAGCGTGGTCCGCGACGAAGACGATTAATCAGAGAGAGGTAAACACGAGGCCCATGGACTGAAATTAATTTGTATTCTTCTTCGATGGAGGCGCGCTTCTCAGGTCCTCTTTTATTCTTTTTTTTTTTTCAAAGGCCTCGCGCGGAAAAATTGGCGGTAAAAGTGGAGGTGAACGAGCGTTTAGGTATTTGTTCGTGGAATGGAAATTCAATCATTGCGGACAATTTCTAAATTTGATTGATTGAAATATAAATTTAGTTGATTGGAATAAAATAAATACAGCTTCGGCTGGAAGGAAATAACATGTTTATAATAAGAGAATGTTTTTGTGCGATGCGTTTTTTTCTTTTTTTGATAACGATACTGTTTCAGAATCATTCTTTGTATATGGAAAAAAGAAATATAAAAGGGGAGACTTGTTTTACGCTGAATCATTTGTTTCAACACGGTTTCTTTCATAATTGGACAAAAAAGATACTAAAAACGATTCGTAGAATAGATAACATGTAGAAGCCTTTATGTTACTTATATGTAACTTATAAATTGTATCGCTTCACTTTACTTAGAAAGGAAGAGGGGAAAAACAGACAGACAGGTTTCCTTTCAATTATTCATGGATCGAATTCATAATCAAATCATCGATCGAAGAATTACAGATATACATTTATTTTCTTGCTTCTATTTTATCCACTTTACTCGTCAAAAATATATCGGTTCGATTATTAAAAATTCTACGACATCGTATTATCCTCCTTTTGAACATTCAAAACACGATTAACCGATCATATATCGAGACCACAATCGTATTTTCGATAAAACCCTTCCTCCCCTCTCTCTCTCTCTCTCCACACGAATCGCTCGCTTTCTCGAAAAAGATGGAAAGAACGAAAACAACTCAAAGTTCGTTTGCCCCGTTTATCGAATCGAAATTAAGGAGAGTATAGGGGGCGAAGATAAACGCGAGGAAGAGAAAAAAGGAGAGGAGGAGAGAAGCAGGTACGGCCGTAGGGGGAAAGTGGCCGGAGCGAAGAAGGGAGAGAAAGAGGCGCGTCTACTACGGTCTTCCTGTCGTTATGCTCTCCCACGGCCAAGCCTAGTCGAATTTCGCTCTGATCTCCGCTCGTGGCGAGTGTACAGTCGCGTCTCTGCGCCCGTGTTCGCCGCTTCGTTTCCACTCCACGATCGTGTTCCTTCATCGCGTCGCGATTTTTCGATAAATTTACAGATCCTCGCGTGGAGGATCTGCCCTTCGCCTCTTGTGAGACAAGATAGGGAGCTCGTGACAGGGCTGATAATAACTAAAAGGCGAGTCGAATCGGTTCGAACAGGAACCCGTCCCCCGCGAGGAGTGAAAAAGTGGTGTGGAAGAAGCTTGGGATGGGAGGGGGATGAAGAGATCGAGTTAGATGGAGAAACTTTGAAAGACTCGATCGAGTTCGGCGATTGCAGATGCAACGAGGGGGATCGTGGCGATGAATTCGCGGATCGATCGGTTCTTCGCGAGAGAAGAATGTTGAGATTGAGAGGAGGAGCGGCGTGAACGAAAGTGAAATGGGATTGGACGTGTTTCGAGGGAATAATCCTTCCATTCCATTTTATTTATTTTTTATTAAAGGTGTCTCGTCGAAATAATTACCGAGGACGATCTCACGGTTTAAAGAAAGGTGGTGGAATAATTGAAAGGAGGGAGAAAAGTGTAAAGAAGGAGAAGCGTAAAGGTGATAAATTAAAGCGAAATGGAGATGTGGAGTCTCCTCTGGAGGAAAGAAAGCTAGGAAATGATAATAACGCGATCAAAGAAAGCGATGATTAAACTGTCGAAGTGTAGTTCGTGAGTTGAATACGAATCTTGAATAATTAACTCGTACTTTTTTCTCTACGAAAAGACAAACAACTATTTATATTATTTGTTCTTATACAAAACTATTTAGAGAAGAACATTTGCGAACATTGCCTCGATAATTCTTAGAGATTCGAATTCGAAGATCGATCTAACGTGACAAAAGTTGAAAAATTAAGTTAGAAAAGAAGAAAAAAAAAAATTCGATCAGGTGCTGGAGCAAACTTTTGATCGAATCGAGGATCGGGAGTAAATTTTCGTTGGAACAGCCGATAACTATTACTTTTCAACGGAACGTCGCGCTAATTTCGAGCAGATAGCTCCTTCGTAATTGTCCGATCTCCCTCCAGAGATTATCCGGATGCGATTGCGTGCGTTGCATCGCGCTGCATTATGCAACGAAAGCGACGATTTAATCGACCAGAGACGAGCTTACGTTGAATCGCTCGAAGATTACCTGTGGGAATAGAATTGGATGGAGAGTAGAGTAACGAGCAACGATATCGATCGCACGCGTTAAGTATTTATAACCGTGTCTTATCGATCCTGCACACAGACGACAAAACGTTTTCGAATATATACAAATACTCCTCTTCGAAACCTCGATCGTCGCGCTTAATTCCTCTCTCCAATTATCTAATTATTTAAAAGGCTTCTCAAATTCTTTAACATCTTTTATTTAACAAAACAAAGAAAATAGACGAAGATAGACGAGCGAAAAGTATTTAAATCGCTCGCCAAGTCATTTCGAACAAACAAAAATAAATAAAGTGGATAAACAATCGAGTGCAATAGAAGATCGGCGAAGATTCTTGCAGCACGAGGCTGAGTGCATGACTTAATTTTTTTTTAAGAGGGGAATCGAAGCGTGTACAGACTCGTGATCTATCACGATTTCTAGTATCGCGATTCGTTCGATTTTTCCCAAACGAGTTCGACCAGAGTTTGATAAAGGGCAAATAACGCCAAGATACTATCTATTGTGCAGTGTCTTCTTATACTCGAGTGTCCAGCGAGGGAAGAAATTTAAACTACTATCTATTCTACTATCGCTATCTCGTTTCGAGTTCTCGACGAACCAAGTAAGATATCGGTTTTACTTCGATCGATTTGTTTCGAAAATTTCGAAGGTGCGGATTATTCGCGATGACGACGAGAAATTTTATGATCGTTTTATCGTTGCTCATCGATGCTTCTTACGCGTTCAACAAATGCTGCCCCCTCGGTGAAGTTTTCACGGGGACGTCGAAGGTGAATTGTGCTTCAACACCTCTCAACTGTTCCATCGAACTGTTCTTCGTCAACGGAAGTAACAGCGAATTTCCTATTTGCGAGAAACCCGAGTACATCACCACGACTCCGCTCGACCAGCTCAACTCTATGAGTTTCGTACAGGTACTCGACGCGACGAGTAAGATCCTGTCGTTTTTCCGTTTTTTAACTCTCTCGATTTTACGATCTTTCTTTCTTTTTTTTTTTTTCTTCTTGTATTTACAGAACACGTCCTGTATCGAAATTCTTCACGAACCATCAACATCTCAGAACGTACCGATACTCGTGCATTGTAACTCGAACGAGGACAGGAACGAGAAGGAGCAACTCTTTTCCTCCGAATCCTTGTCGAAATTGCGATTCTTAAACGTTAGAAGGTGTTGCTCGAGCAACGAGGTCTTTAACGTAATGCCAGGAAACTGTGAATCGTCTGAGAACGCTGAAGACGATCTTTTAACGTTTTTTAACGTTACTGCGAAGGACGAGAATATAAAGATAATTTCGATGAATAAAGAATTGCTTGAATGCCCAAAATCGAACGCCATGTTTACTTATGAAATCGATGCAGAGGACATCACCATCCTCGATGAATCTTTAAAGGTGAGCATATTTTATTTCACTCGCTGAGCGAGGCGAACATCGAGAATTTTAACGAGCATGATAAACGAGGTGTTATTCGTATGAAAATGTTGACGAGACGTTCTAATTAATCAATTATTTTGGATATTCCGCTCGCATCCCTCTCCTCTCGTTCCGTGATATTTTGCGGATAAGATTATAATTTGTTAGAAAGAACTTAAAAAAAGAATTTTTTTGAAAATCATGGAACGTGAAAACGATACATACGTTGTCATTGTCGACAAATATTTTTATTTGTTACACACTTTGTTACCATTTATTTTATTTATTCCGTTGAATTACAGAACGATTCGAAGAATTCTTCTCTGTGAGCGAAATCAGATCACGTTTAGACGTGAAAAAAAAAAAAAAAAAAAAAAAAAAAAAGAAAAAACGTGACTTCGCCATTTTAATGAGAAATTCCTATCTTCCTCGTGCTACGCGATTCGTGGTAAATTAAATGTAACTAGTTAAAACGAATGAATAACTGACTGAATCGGCTGGATTCGATGAAACAATTTACATACACAGTTTCTTAATTCTTAATTTTCTCGAAGAGCGAGAGAAGGAAGAACCTGTTGTGGAATGTTAAATTGATTCGTGTTTCATTAATGTTCTAGGATGCAAAAAAAAAGATAAACATCGTTGTGTCGCTTTAATCAGAAGTATATATTAATTTTTTAAAAACAGATATTCATTTCACGTTGTTCAGAAATGTTAAATTTAATTAATTAAGATTAAAAATATAAAATATAAAAGTTAAAATTCTGAAAACTTTAAAATTTTAAAAATTTTAAATTCAAAATTTATATTTAACGTTGTTCCACGTTTAGATTAGATTTTTCCCTAGATTAGGTTCAGGTTAGATTTTTTCCCCTATATTATTTAGAACGATTCAATTGTTTTCGATCGATTATAAAAGATTAATGAAGATCATAGCAACCAATAAAAATTTTTAAAATTATTAAAATTTAAAAAGCTTAGATTCAACATTATTTTTTGTTGTTAAGTTAGATTCTCTGATTCTCTTCTTATTAGATAATATGCATATTTATTCGATTCTTTTCCTCTTTTTTGTACTTATATTTTTTTTCTATTAAATTTGTAGAATGATTCAATTGTTTTCGAAACGACTGACTAACAATGAAAATATAAAATTAATTTATTGATCGATCTTGGGAAGATAAACTATTCGTTTATTCGAAGAAAAGAAATAAATCTTAACAATGATTGTCCAAATAATAGTACGTGCTTTGTCGAATACACATTTATTTACACGTATATTTTTTCTTAACTGCTTTCTATTATCATTTATTTCAATTTTATTCTATTTATAAAGTTATCGTTATAGGGGAGCATGACAATTTCAATATTCTTATTCATCCTGTTCAATATTTGATCGTATCATTTACTCTACTTTTAACGATTAATTTTTTTTATAAATGATTTTTCCAATTATTTAAATATGCAATAGTATATCAATATAAGATATTTAAATTAGAATTAAGAATAATACTATATATAAAGTAAATAGAATAGAATTTAAAAACAACACTAAAATAAAATCGATTTTATCCAAATATTTCGAAGCAGAATATTTATTTTAATTTCAGGGAAAAATAAATTTAAAATTTTTTTTCTTCTCTCAAAATATAATAATCTGAGAAACAAACACGAGAAATCAATATCAAGACACGTATACGTTCAATTCGAGGATTGGTGAGAAAGTTTCATGATTCTTCCCTTGTCTTCCCCAAAAACGAAATATAAACGATAGGAAAAAAGATCGAGTATCACGTGTTCTCCATACGAGAGCATACAACAATTTGCGTAAAAATCGAGGAGAAAACTAATTCGTTTCGTGGAAATATATTTATCGATCGAAAAAAAAAAAAAAATTGTGCGAAAAAGAAAATATTTTCGTTGGAATGACGCGCATGTATGCTCGATATCGCACAGTATTTCTCAACTTTCTTCGATCGTTCTATTCTTTCTTTTTTAATATCTAAACAAACAAACAACTTGACGATTACAAAGATTTACAATTCGAAAGATTTCCACTTGCGTTTGTTGTTTGTGAGAAATCTTGTTATCTTCATGAATATGTTAATAAATTCGTGTTTACCTAATTATACGTTTCATTTACTTTCCACGCATGACAAGTTTTCGTTCGATTACAATTTACGAATGTATTTTTTGAAATTTAAAAAAAAAAAATCATTCGTGGAATTTATTCTTGCGTTCTTTTTTTTTCAAATTTAAAAAGAAGGACACTCGTGTTTATTTTTATCTAACATTTCAGAAATTTAATACCTCTGCATTAATACAGACATTCCGGTAATATATTTAAACCATGATATATGTATATATATATATATAAAACCTGTTACGTAAGCGAGAATGATACGATGAAAAATTTACGGATGGTATACTCGACAAATGAATTATTCCACCATATCACGTCCATACGTATCTGTTAGGCAAAAATTATACGTTACATGTGAAATTACAATAATTGTAAAAGATTTGATCTCAATTGTGATATACTTTATATCTCGTCAATTCTCTACCTAATTAATATAGTATGTTAAATATTAAAAGGAGGAAGAGGGGAAAAAAATGTATAAAATTAGCGAGTCTCGTTTTACAGTCGTTTTATTATTCCCTTGCTTCTCTATTTCTTCTCGCATTAGCGTAATTTAGGGCGACAGGGGAGAATGGTCGAGATCCAATTACTCTCCAGAAACTGGAGAGAAACTATTAAATTAGTTCGTATCGCATGAGATTCTTACATTAGTCACATCTGTATCATATAAAGTAAATGAAACTTCGATTATATATGGTTATCTAAACTCTAGGAGAGAGAGAGAGAATCTCCATTTCGACGAAATATCTCAGTGTCAGAGATCATTCAAATTATTGCGTATTATGTGTAGTATATTTTAGATAGAAGATCGATAACCTATTATCTCTTAGTCGCGTTCATCGAACGGATCCGGCGCCAACAACATTTTCTATCTTCCTTATTTCTCGATCGATAAAAAAGAGAAATCGTTTATTAGTACAAATAACGATTCCCTTTGTTTCCCTTAGTCGCAATATCAAAGTTCAACTGCAACTTCTTAACCAAACTTAATCTGCATAAATACCTAATAAATAGCTCCTTTCAAAAGAAAAAAAAAACCACGATTCTTATCTCAATTTTCGATCGTGAATAAAAAAAAAAATATAAATTTACACTCGCAATTTTATCAATCTTCAACAATTTATGGACAAGGCTCAGCCTTGAAGCGTTGCATAATCGAATAATTGATTCCACGATCACGACCTACCATCATCATCGTCTTGTTCCCTCTCGAACGAGTGGACAGAGATCGAGAGAACCGGTTGTCGTCGTGGCTATTCACGCTCCGATCATCCGGCTTCTCTTCATTCATACCAAGAGTGCACCTCTCTCTCTCGTTTATCTATCTATCTTACGCCTATGCGCGTAAACTATGAAATCACGCGCGCGTTAGTTTTAAACAAATAAATAAACGACGATCGAAGCGGAGTGGGACCAGCCGATTTCCATTCGCGATCCCTCATTTCTTTTCGAACGTTCGTTCATCATCCGGTCTGTTTTCACACGATATAACACGCACGGTTTATAACAGGGACTGGAATAGACGAGTTTTTATTTCCGTGCAACGTTCTTCCTCTTCTTCCTTTTTTCTTTCCTTCCACTTGTTACTATTTGCTCTTGTGTATCTAACGTAGGTTTGTTTTTTTTTCTTTTTTTTTCGAAAGGAGAAATTCCTGGAAACGGTTGCCCCTTAACAGATAATTGTTTCAATTTGGCGCGTTTTGTTAATTCTCTACGAATAAGATCGTTCACGAAGATTCAAAGCGATAATTGATAGGTAGCGTGATGGTTTTATAATTTCGTATCGTGTTGTTGTATCGGGTGTAATGGATTTTTAATGGTTGTTAAATTGAAAAATATCGAGTTCACCTGGCAATCTTTGTGATATCACACGATATCACGTTGGAAAAATATTTTTTAATTACATTTCATTAATTTAACTGTGTCGTTCTACTTTTTTTTTTTTTTTTTTTTATCGAAAGATCACAACACGGAATCGATACGTAACTCGATTCGATAGATACCGGTTTCGTATGTAAGCCGGGTCGCGAAACAAGCACAAAATGGCGAATCAGCCGAAAAGATGCGGCCTCTTCGACACGTTCCGCGCCATGGGGTGAGCGGAGCGATTAGGCACGTAGCCAGAATTTTATTTCCAGAACAAGGGAAATTTTTACAGTATGAATCGAATCCCGCAATGTTCCACTTTAATTTCGTAATGAATGAACGAGTGACCTGGAAAAAAATGATTAATATTATTATTCGTCGAACGTTTCGAGAAATTCTATCAATCTAATAAATCAATAACAAAAAAAAAA